TGTGAGAAGATCAAGATCTTCCACTCAATGAGTTTGAGTGTGAGTGAGCTTTTTGAATACAGGCGTTAGATACGAAACATGACAACCATATATAAGATAATAAACAGCAACAAATAATAAACAATTTAAAATTTAACCCCCTTAATAATAATAAAACCACGCATGTCACATGACGTAATTTATAACTTGTGCAATAACTGACGAATATTTATTCATAATTGCGTCTCTTAGCGGCACAGTCGAAAACTTGAACATATATCACTATACATGCACACTATATTATTACACATATATTATTAAAGTAAAACTATATAACTAGAACATGTAGGGACGCCGAAGAGGGGGCAGGGGCTAGAAGGGGCGGGTGCGCCCTTTTATCAATTCTACAATTGAAAATTTTTCAGTAATTGTTCCAGGTAGTGTTCTCTTTTTACAGGAGTACAGTAATCATTAGGTGAATAGAAATTTGAGTAATAATTGATCTTAGGCACAAATTTCTCCCCTGCCCATTCATCGGCGTAGCGTCCCTCATATACAGAACTGATTGCATAAAGCCCAGATTTAGTGTTCCTTGAATGAACTCTAGATGAAATCATACAAATGTTTTAAAATATAAAAGCCAGTTAAACAAGTCAATTGTCTATTCACAAAAATTTGAAAGATTTTCTTAGAATCTCTTTGTGACCCTCTTGGAGATGTGGCCAAAGATTGCCAGGTATACTATGAAGGCCGTTGAAGAAACTAGGGCATTGAAGTAGGAAGCGTTTGCATGAAAGTAAACCATAGAGAGATCCGAAGATGTGCGCTCTCTACCATCTTTATAATACCTTCGGAACTGCTTCGATACGACGATCATATTGTTTGGGCAAGAGGATATAACCGATTCCGGTCTCAATGTGTTGTGACAACCATAACATTTTGATACTCGCTGGTCTACGAATCTTAACAAGGATATTACATACGTACCTGGTGCTGGATTAGGTTATGTAGGAACCAATGCAAAGGCACCCACAGCACCTGAAATATTCTGTAGTTCACAACCATACGGCGAACTCTGCTCTCTATTTACAGTGTTATTTGGTGGAACAAAGACGTTATTTACGTTGTTGGGTGTCAGAATAAAATCACAAGAGTTCATGCGAACTTGATTAAAAAAATATTCTATCTGTGGCGTATCAGGCACATTTGACGAGGGCACTTGGGGTGGTTGAAAGCAAGTCGTTGATGGTGCAGCAGCTCCCGTCAATCCACTAAAAGTTACAGGTAGCACTCTGTCACCACTCTTTTTAATTGAAGATCCTTTACGACACTGTGTTGCTTGCGATTTCTTTTTTCCGGCATTAGCAGGGATATTGATATTTGCTACAGCTGTTAAGTTTGTCCGTTTTCCGTTTTTTCTGAACCATGAAAGGTAACCTGCTAAACAATTTGCCCCATGCGCAGCCGCGATGCAGTGCGAACAAATGCGGTACGCCGTGAAACTGGCACAAGTATGTTCACATTCAACTTTCTTCGTTTTGCTATGAACTACAACTGAATGCGGCTTTTCACTTGATTGACTAACTACCATGTATGTAACACCTTGTTGATTCCCGTCTTTAATAGGAGGCACTTTCCAAATGCGATCCATGTTTTGCACAGTCCTTGAAGCCTTTTCGAACATCGGATTGAGAATAGGGAAAGGTACGTCGATTATTTGGGATTCCTTTGCGAAAACTGCAAGGTTTTTGAGCACGTTGTTGGCAGGATCGGCTTCAGTGCTGACAATTCGATTCATCTCTGATATTGAGGTTGTAAAAAATTTTTGTTTCAGTTCATCTTTTTGCTTGGGCGTCATTCGGTAATAGTCAGCCTCGTTCACCTGAATAAACTTAAACTCTTCTTTCAGTTTATACTCTCCTCTTCCAATGACGGACAAAAACTGTTCGTCTTGTTGCGGCTTTACTTCGCTTTTAATCCTTTCAACGTACTCCATGAGCGTGAGATCTTATTTCCCATATTGGGTAGGTTTCTTATGTTTAATGAGCCAATTCATGCATTCATTTGCATTTTGGGTATACATTCTGAGGGGGGGGTATCCAAGACCACAAATTGATCTTATGTCGGCTCTGCACGACTCGCGTAATACATCAGATCTTCCACCTAAAAATATTGAAGAAATTCTTGGCCTTTCCCGAAATTTGCCCATTTTTTCACCGCATGTTCGCAAGCTTTATAAAAATTCTCCGACAAAGTACAGTCAACGAGTCCACCTTCACATTTGTCGCCAGAATTCCTGCCAAATATATCACTCATTATTTCCATGGCATGCTCCTTTGCTACACCAAGGTTGCTTAGCTTTTGCTGAATATTGTCTCTCAAGTGTATATCGCACCTAAGGTGTCTAGCGTCAGTAAATACATTGCTGAAAGCTCTAAATAAATTTTCCTCGCCATCAGTTCCATACACTAAACTGCCATTTATACTCGGTCGATATTTAATCATGAGGAGTGGAAGATTCTTGTACGATGATGCCAATTTTCGTTTGTGTAAGATACCAGGACCAATAGAAACTGGATGATTTCCTCTTTGGGTTTCAAGCAGCAGGTTTTGATAGGTCACAAACATGAAATAATAGTCCGCAATTTGAAATGTTGCGTCGAGCCCTAACACACAGAATGACTCTGGATTTGTACAGAATCGCTCTACGTCCAAAAACTGTTGATCTGTGGTAAGAAACACTACTGGTTCAGGAAATACTGGTATATCCCGAATAAAGCCATTCTTTTCATCACCTTATCCTTGTGCTTCCTTAGCCTTGATAAATACATCCAGGAAAGGGTCTTTCACGCATGCACTATTTGTGGGATTATTGAAGCTTCTGTTTGCGTTATAGATCTGCATCCTATTTCGCGGGAACTCACCGGCTGACTGAATTTGATTGATGCCACCTCTTTCTTCAATTACGTCATGAACAACTTTGCGTGGTGAATGCTTTACAAGCTTAGCACATATTAAGTTCTTCATACTTTGCATGGTCCTTTTGTAACCCTTTTCGCCTGCATTCTTTGCATTGCCATGCGACTTCACTACGACACGCTGTTCACCCTCCGTAAAAATATATTGTACAAAGACCAGTTCTAATTTAGCACTTTCCTGGTTTTCAGCAGTTACAATTGACTTTCAAAGCGATGGAAGGCTAGCATTCTTATAGAAGGAACGACGGACATGAAAGATCGAATGTTCTGAGACGTTTTCTGGGCTGACAACTCTTTGTACTCCACTACTTTTTCTTTCGTAGGAATTCTTTTTCGACCCAGTCATAATCCAACTTCCAAGATCGTCGCACTTGACATCTTCTGAATCCTTGAGGGCTGTGGTATTAATAAAAAAAGACAATATTTTTGTCAATGGCCGTGGGCATTGCTGTTGCTACCGTGTCTAAATCTTTACATCCACAAATTAGAATATTTGCGATTTTGTTGGTCAAAATTCCCTTCGTTAACCCCAATCTGTATGCAGGCAGGCGTTTGTCGTTGTTATAAAATACTGTTTTTGAACAGTTATCCATTTGTTGATCGTCACCTAGAAAATAGAAAAGATTCAATATTTACATGGGTTAGCTTGTTTTAATTTTGAACCCAACCAATTGTCTCTAAGTTAATAAGTTATCTTCTCTAAGTAATAAGTTCTACCGGTAAATGTCTCTCTATAATATAGTCTTTGGTACCACACGTAATTGTAAACGAATTAAATTGAGTATTTACCAGAGCTGCAGTCAATGTCAATACCATCATCATCATCATTCTGCCTTACTCCGTCAGGGAAAACAACAGAAACCTCATTTTCGTCAAAATCAAGGTGGACAAAACTGCTGTTTTCACTATTTATGCCACCCTTAGGCTGGCCGGCTTTGTCAGCGGAAATTAACAATACCTCTTTGTTTTCGTCGGAGGATACAACTGAAACAACATTTTCTACATAATCAAGGACAAGGGGGACCAAACTGCTCTTTACTGCTCCAAACTGCTCCAATATCCTTTTTACTGTAAACAAGCGAGCTGTCATTTTCTGTGGCAATACGATGGGAACTGCTGTTTTCACTTTTTCTCATGTCTATAGTCTCTTTATTCTGGTGGGTTTCTTTGGGGGAAACAACCGATAGCTCATGATCAAGGTGAACAAAAATGTTCTTTTTACCCTTGTTACTTCCTTTATTTCGGCAGACTTCGTCAGTGGAATCAAGCAACACCTCATTTTCTGTGAGATCACGATGGCACAAAATGCTGCTTAAATAACGTAAAATACACAATATAAGTTATTTCAGCCAAGTTCAACAAGAAATAATTTCATGAGTCTAAGGTTGCATTCAGCTGTTCCATCAATATTCTATCCATAGGCTTAGTTTCCTAATTCTTAGCATTTTAGCCAATTTGAGAATACTGTAGAGTTTTTTGAAGACCTTATATTTGATCACTTCAGAGATGTAAGATTATTTGGCAATGAATTTGGAAATTAACATAAAGGAAATTTGATTCAACTTAGCAATATATATACCTGTTTTCCAATAATTTAATAAATATTATTTGCTGAAGGTCTATCTTTTGCATCAAATGAGGCACATTGCAAATATGCACTGAAAACCTTATGCCATTCTCCTGGCCCCTGATGTTTTACAAACTGTGGTACTGGTGAAGGAAGTTGCTTTCTCCTCATCATCATTTGAATATGTGTCGCATATTTGTTAGCTTTAACACCACCTTGAACCAGGTCTTGTTGATATGGAAAGCTTAGGGTTGGATTTACCAGATTGTAATAAACAAGTCCAAGAGCCCATATGTCCACCTTCTTTAGGAAATCTATTGAAGCATCCTTGCATGACTGGACTAACTCTGGTAATGTAATTTCAGGGGGCATAAATGCTGGAGTACCTCGGTCTAAGTTTTTTGTATTAGTCATGTGAAATGCTTGTGTTTTGATAAGATTCGAACGGCTCTCACCAAAATCAGTTACTTTACATTTTACTGGAGAGTTCTTCCAACATTTCTCAACATTGCTTCATCTTTAATCTCGTTGTAGTGCTGGTTGGAAACAAGAATGTTATCAGGTTTAATGTCTCTATGGACAATCCCATTTTCATGGAGGTAGCTAAGGCCTTTTGCCACCTCAATTGCAACCACTGGCACAATACGTGCAAATGCCTCTAACCAAATATTTTCATCCACTTCTTTCAAAAATGCCTTGAGAGTGCTTACTTTTTTATCCATCTCAAATGGTTTAAAATCAAAATACACATAATCAAAGAGCAAAACTGCAGGAGACATACAAATACCATGAACGTTTACAACATTCTCATGTTTGCAGGCATTCAGAAGTCTAGCTTCTTTGAAAAAAAAATCTTTTTCTTCATCTTCCATATTATGCAATAGTTTCACAACAGAACACTTGCTGTTAGTTTTGTTGCTAGCTACTGATACTGTTGAGAAACTACCCCTGCCAATTTCATCATGGATATTGAGTTCCCCCACATCAAAAGTTGGTAAACCATTCAAAATTGATGTTGACTTCTTGGCTTGTTTCACTTTTGATAGTTGTGGAAGCTTGAACATTTTTTGCTCTAAAAATTAATTTCACATTTATTTTTTAGAATTTTATTTATACAGCATTATTGCATTATTGCCACTACCCTAACAAGCTATATAATTATGTATAAATAAACCAGCAACCAACAAGGCAACAACCGATATACACACAGTCAATGGGAACAATTTGAGCCACAAATTAACTACAACACTACAGGTTTGGTGTCCCAAAAAAACCAAAACCATTCAAATTTCAAATTGCGTATTGGAATGACTTGTTTGCGAATTTTTGCTCGTAGGGACTAGGGATTAACATAACATAAAAGGCTAAATAGGCCTATTGTGATCCCTAATTGTAAAGCGTATTGCTATTGGAAATAAAAGTCATTTGCATAGAAATGCTTATGTCAAACATTTATTCATTGGGCATCCAAACCCTAGCTATTCATTGGGCATTCAAACTCTAGCTATTATTAGGCATTCAAACTCTAGCTATTACATTGTTATGGCTGATTTAAATGGTTTGGGGTTTTTTTGGGACACCATGCGTGGCAAATACTATGTAATGTACAGGATAGTGGACTTTCGAAAATATTTATCGAGATATATTAACATATTTGCACAGTAAAACAGTAATGTAACAGTAAAACAGCCGACAACTCTATATTTACGATTTACAACATGTTTTTTTCTCTTACTGAATATTCTCTATTTGTACTGACCTTTATCACAATCCGAAGGTTTTCAAGGTTTTCAACATTTTCATTGAAGATTTCAACAACAACGGCATGTATTATAAACAGTCCATGTTTTACAAATCACTGATTGAGTCAGTGTTTTGTAAATCACTGACTGAGTCAGTGTTTTACAAATCACTGATCGAGTCAGTGTTTTACAAATCACTGACTACTTAGTCAGTGTTTTACAAATCACTGATCGAGTCAGTGTTTTTCAAGTCCAGTCCAGTCCGGTCAGTGTTTTACAACATGCCTTTTGATACAAATAATAATATTGCATTATCCGAAAACAATGCAAACCTAGACAACCCAACCAATATTAACTGTGAATATTACCTACGAAATTATTTCAATCAAGCAATCAATGTATCAGAATCTAATAAGATCCTCTCCTTAATGCACCTAAATACTAGAAGCCTAGTTAATAAATTAGATTTCCTTAAACAACTTATCAACTCGTTCAAAATACCGCTACAAATAATTGGTTTAACTGAGACATGGCTGAATGATATGAATGATCATCTTTTTCAGCTAGAAAATTACGAATTTTTAAATGTAAACAGACCTACTAAAAATGGTGGAGGTGTTGGTATTTACATCTCAAATCAATTTAAATACACATCTCGCACTGATCTAAACCAAAACACTGAAAATATAATTGAATCAATATTTATTGAACTTAAAGTACCAACGGGTAAAAATATAATAATAGGTGTAATATATAAACCACCAAACAGTAAAATCAATGAATTTGATAATAAACTTAATCAAATAATAAGCAAAATAGATCGGGAAAATAAAATATGCTACCTTAAGGGGATTTCAATATTGACTTATTAAAATCAGAATCTTGTGATTATACCAATAGATATTTGGAAATTCTATATATGTCATCATATATACCACTTATGTTAAGACCAACAAGAATCACGCAACACACAGCCACACTTATTGATAACATTTTTACAAACAATATTGAAACTATAGATTCCAGTACAAATGGAATAATTTTTTCTGATATCTCTGACCATCTGCCTATCATTCATGTACGAAATCTATTGATACATAAAAAAACAACACCAATAAAAGAGGTAATATATAAAAATGTTATCAATGATTACAACACTAAAATATTTTCTGACAGAATCAAAAATACCTCATGGGAAAATGTTTTCTGTAGGGATAACTCCACGGAATCTTACAATGAATTCTTTAATATAGTTTCAACTATTTACGAAACTAGCTTTCCGCTAATTAAAGAGAAGGTTAAAAAGGGTATTGATGACAAAATGCATCTCTAAGACTGTGAAAAAAAACACACGCTATATAAGAAATACCTACAATCACCTATGATAAAAAATGAGAACAAATACAAACGATACAAAAACAAGCTAAACCACGAAGATCAACTAGTAAAATACAAATATGATACAAAATCGTTATGGAGAACACTAAACCAAATTATGAACAAGCATGATAATAAAAATAGTTTATCTAAGGAATTTATTGGAACTAGTGCTGGAGAGATAATTAATGACCCACTTATGATAGCAAACAAGTTCAATGAATATTTTGTGAATATCGGACCACAAATAGCAGAAAAACTCCCCAAATGTGATAAAAACCCTGACCAATATCTAAATGGTAACTATAATAATAGCTTTTTTCTGCAACCAATAACCAAATATGAATTGGAAAATGAAATTAAAAGCTTAAACCCCAATAAGAGTCTGGGATATAATAGTATAAGCGCAAAAGTTATTCAGAAGGTTATGGGTGAAATTTCTGAACCTGTCTCATATATTTACAATTTAACTTTTAGTAGTGGGAAAATTCCTAATAACTTGAAAAAAGCGCTAATTACACCTGTCTACAAAGCAAATGAAAAAAAACAATTTAAAAATTATCGACCCATATCTGTTATAACTTGTTTTTCAAAAATATTGGAAAAACTAATGTACAAAAGATTAATTAAATATATGGAAAAAGTAAAATCTTAACACAACATCAATATGGATTTAGAGAAAATAGATCCACTGAAAACTTGCACTCATTGAACTTACAAACAAGCTTACTAAAGCAATCGATCATGGAGAATTCACAATAGGAATTTTTCTTGACTTGTCAAAAGCATTCAATACAATTAATCACAACATTCTGATACAAAAACTTGGAATACTATGGAATACGTGGTGTAGCAAAACAATGGTTTCAATATTACTTAACAAACAGAATGCAAATTGTCAAATACAATCAAGTTAGGTCTAAGGAGATGTTAATTCAAACTGGAGTCCCACAGGGATCAATTCTCGGACCTATTATTTTTTTACACTATATGAATGACATCGAAAATTGTACAAAACTGCTTTCATTTGTACTATTTGCTGATGACACAAATATATTCTATTATGTCAGATGGCGTATTATGTCAGATAGTGTTTGCTATTCTGATGCAACCTCAATAGCACAGATTTTGAATTCATATTTCTGTTCTGTTGCAAGTAAGTTAGCTGAACATTTCACATCCATCGTGGGCAGTGCTTCAACAGTATGCATTAACAATAGTGTTTCGGATTCCGAAACATTTTCTTTTGATTCTGTGACTGTTGAATATGTCGAACAGCAACTATCTACTCTCCGAACAAATAAGGCCACTGGATTAGATCGTATAAGTGCTCGTCTGCTGAAAGATGCCTCATCTGCAATAGCACCATGTTTGACTAAAATTTTCAACTGCTCCCTTTCCACCGCGATCTTTCCCAGTTTATGGAAAACTGGTCGAATTACTGCATTGCATAAACAAGGAGATCGGACTGACATGAATAATTATAGACCTATCACAATACTTCCTACAATCAGTAAGTTACTTGAACGTGCAGTACATCACCAACTGTACTGTTATCTTAATGAAGAGAAAGTTCTTGCAAAGGAGCAGCATGGTTTCCGGGCTAAAAGAGCGACCGATACTGCACTCATCCACTTCACAGATAAAATCTTGGCCTCCATGGACTCAGGTCAGGTTACAGGTGTTGTTTTCCTTGACCTGAGTAAAGCCTTTGACACCGTTAACCATGAATTGCTTCTCCCACCCTTGCTTCTGCTTATCACAACTAGGACTGTCTAATAATACTGTATCTTGGTTTCGGTCTTATCTATCTAACAGATCAGCCATTACAGTAGTGGAAAATAAAAGGTCTTCTATGACGAACATTCCGATTGGTGTACCCCAGGGTAGCATCTTGGGACCTCTCCTATTTGTTTTATATATGAATGATTTACCACAATGTCTTAAGTCTTGTAAAGTGATGTTATACGCTGATGACACCGTCTTATATTATTCATCGAGGATGGTTAGTGATGTTGAAACTAAACTTAATGAAGACTTGGAAAGTATGACAGTCTAGTTTAATAACAATTTTTTAACATTGAATGCTGAGAAGTCAAAATTTGTTTTGATCGGTAGCTCACGTAAACTCAAGTTCTGTGATAGTATCAAGGTGACAGTGCAAGGTTATCAAGTAAACCGATCTTCGACAGTCAAGTACTTGGGTATTATGATTCATGAAAATCTAACATGGACGGAGCACATTAAAGTTCTGAGTGCAAAGGTAAATCAACGTATTGGTATTCTGAAGCTTTTACGGTACATTCTTTTTAAGGAAGAACTTGTCACCGTGTATAACTCAATCATATTATCCCTGTTTGACTACGCAGATTTGGTTTGGGGGGATAAAAACAACAAAGTTCTAATGGACGACTTGCAGACTTTACAAAACAAGGCTGCAAAGGTCATATTGCGATTACCACGCGCACATTCGGCTACTGATGCCCTTCAAAAATTAAATTGGGTAGATCTAAATACAAGACGTCAACAACATCGACGCATTGCAATTCATAAATGCCTTCACGGAATTATGGACACAGAATTAATACTAACCCAGAACTGCAACCGCCATAGCTATTCTACTCGCCAAAGTGTAAACCTATACCTCCCAAAAGCTAAAACAGAATGGGGGAAGCAACGTTTCGTGTACCAGGCAGCGAATGATTGGAATGATTTAGATAATGACATTAAGAATATAGTTAATTTTAACATTTTTAAAAGAAAACTTATGTTATAACATTCATTAACATCTCGTGTACCAGGCAGCGAATGCCTGGAATGACCTAGATAATGACATTAAGAATTTAGTTAATTTTAACATTTTTAAAAAACTTCTAGAATAACTTATAGGCTAGTTTTACTATATTCCAGATTTATACATTATAATAATGTATTGTGATGAGGGC